TCATTTCATATCTTTAAGAGGCATTTTTATATATTGAGAATTATCTTTCTTTCCCTTTGGTTTTTAGGAGTGATGTATATATTAAAGATATTAATCCTTTATCCCTGGTATATGTTGGCAACAGTTTTTCCCCATTTTTTAAAATTTTGGTCATTTGTCTTAGTACTTGCAAGAACTTATATATTTTTGTGGCTGCATTTAGTAATTATTTTTACATCTGGATTTTGTAGTCATTGTTAGGAAGGCTTTCCCTACAGTCAGATTATATACATTTACCTCTATTTTCTTCTAATAATTTGCATAGCACTAGTTCTTTACATTTACATTTATGTCAAAACCCTGTTGTAATTTCCTTTAGACGCATACCCAGAAGTGGAATTGCTGGATCATATGGTAGATTCATTTTTTCTTTCTTTGAGGAACTTCCATATTGTTTTCCATAGCATTGGACTAATTTACATTCCCACCAACACTATGCAAGGTTTTCCTTTGCCCCACATCTTTTCCAGTGGCGTGGTCTCTTCTTGATGACAGCCATCTATGTGTGAAGTGATCTCATTATCATTTTGATTTGCAGTTCCCTAAGGATCGTTGAAAGTTTAGCATCATCTCATGTGCCTTTTGGCCATTTTGATGTCCTCTTTGGAAGAATGTCTTCTGCCTATTGTTAAAACAAAATTTTGTTAAGTTCTGTATATTCTGTAGGCTGTCTTTTCATTTTGTTAATTATTTTGTTGTACAGAAACTTTTGAGTTTAATGTAATTCCATGTGTTGATTTTGCCTTTGTTGTTTATATTCTTGGCAAAAAATAATGGCCTACATCAGTGTTGATTACTTTCTGCCCTGTCTTTTTACCTAGGAGTTTTATGATATCAAATCTTGTTTCTTTTTACCGCTTCTCCCTCTAACGTGATGCTATTTTTTGAGTGCCACCTTTCCTGTAGCAAGTGCTTTGTTATATCTGGCCAGTTGTTCATCCTTATGGTAGGCTTGTTTGTTATAAGCGTGCTTTCAGCTCATCCTTATCCTCTCTGCTCCCTTATTCATTTATGTTTTTTCAGACCTTCTCATACTCCAGAAAGATGTAGGTCATGGCAGTAATTTTAAAGACAGCTGAGCTGGAGTTTGGTATTTTTGTTACTTGTAGGTAATTGGAGTTTGCAGTGGTCTCTTTTCTATTACAGAATAGAAGATATGGGTTATGTGTGCTTTTATGTGTTCTCCATGTTGATCTTTTAGCTTTCTAGTGTGTGGAGAGATTTGGATTTACACAGATACACTTATTCTAGATTACCTGCAAGTGCCTTGATTTTCTTTGATTAAAACATTAAATTATAATTAGTAAACAGTAAAATTGACCTTCCTTAGTGTACAGTTCTGCAAGTCTTTGACAAACTCATGTAGTTATGTAACTGCCCCACATGAAAATGTAGACTAGTTCTGTTGACTAGTTAGCCCTTGCTGCTCCCTGGCCCCTGGTAATCACTGATGTAATGTTTGGTCTTTAAAGTGTGGCCTTTCCCATAGCCTTATGTAATTGGAGACATACTGTATATCACTTTTGAATCTGCCTATTTCACTTAACATAATACATTTGAGGTTAATCTATGTTGTTGCTTCTATCATTCTTTCATCTTTATTGCTGATTAGTATTATATTGTATGAATTCCAGTTTGCTTATCCATTCACCAGTTGAAAAAACACTTTGATTGTTTCCAGATTTTTGTGATTACATATATGCTGTCATATAAATATTCATGTACAGGTTTTTGGCTTTACATAAATTTTCATTCCACTAGAGTAAGTATTCCCGTGAGTGAGGTTGCAGGATCATATCAGAATAGAGGCTTATCTTCATTAGAAACTAGAAAACTGTTTTCCAAAGTAGCTGTGCCATTTTGCATCCCTGCCTGAATACATGAGAGTTTCAGCACTTGCTACCTTTAGGATTTCTTCACATTCTATAAGCAGTGTGGTGGTATGTCATTGTGATTTTAATTTGTAATTTCCTCCTGCCTGTTGAGCATCTTTATATGTGCTTGTTTAATCATCTGTGTATCTTTGGTGAAGTATCTCTCCTTTACCTGTTTCTAGTTTGTTTATATAATTTGACATACTTCTTTGGCAAATATGTGATTTGCAAAAAGCTCCCATTTAGTGGCTTTTTATTTTCCTGACAGTATCTTTTGAACTTAGTGTGACATCTAAAAGTATGTAGCTAGACCCTCCCTGGTGGCACAGCAGGTTAAAGCACTGCACTAAGAAGCTTAAGCCACTTCCGCATGAGTTC